GCCTGCTAACCAGACGGCTGGCGGTTCAAACCATCAGCCACTCCTCGGAAGGAAGGTTGGGCAATCCTACTTCCGTAGTGATACTGCCTCGGAAACCCAAAGAGGGGTTGCTATGAGTCAGGTTTGACTCGATGGCACATAACAACAACACAACAACATTCTGATCAAAGACTTTTTAGAAGAATTCTGATCAAAAGGGGGAAAATGCTGAACATTTTCATGGCATGTAGGATTTCTGGAGCCACGGAGTGTCGATGAATCCCTGAAACTATTGACCTGAGGTCATCATTAAATCTTAATCTTTCAGCCAGAAATATCCCCTGATGTCTTCTTAAAACCAAGCAGTAGTTTTGCTTAACTAGTAAAGAATGTGTGCCTTGGGCATTGGGCTCTTTTAGTGAATAATGTTCTTGGAATCAAATTGAGAAGAGAAACTCGAACGAGGATCTAGGAAACTTAGGGGGCAGTGAGTCTATGTTCATGGGGGAGGAACAGGTGAGAATGGCCGGACAACGTGAAGAACGGCATCAGCGTGAGTGAACCACACATCGAGAGATGGTTGAAGTGTTGTAGGCTCCCATGTGTGTACTCTTGACAATAACGAAACATTTAATGATTTAAAAACGGGGGAAAGTGTGTTGGGGACTGAAGGAACACTGATAAATGTTTTGTTTGCTTTGAAGGGTTAATGGTCAATGCCAGGAGTTCACAGCGGTGGGAACAAGAGGAGACAACAACATTTACGAAATAGATTGTGAGTACACATCTCCGCCTGGGAGTGTAGCGCTCAGACAAGACAAAGAGTTCAAGTGCATGGCCTTAGTTCTGTCCAGATGACATTCAGATATCTAAATGTCACAACAATTCCTGCTATTAATTACCCCATGCCTCTGGAATCGCCAGGGAATTGCCCAATCCCTCATCTTGTCTTCAAACTCAAGGTAAATTTTCATCAGCGAGGAAGATGGGGCAATCTACTTCCGTAGTGATACTGCCTTGGCAACGCAAGGAGGAGTCGCTATGAGTCGGGTCCAACTCGACGGCACATAACGACAACAAGAGGCTTCATATGGGGCGCTCTCGTGGTGCAGTGTGTAAAGCACTTGACTGCTAACCAGAAGGCTGGTGGTTCAAACCCACCAGCCACTCCTCGGAAGGAAGGTTGGGCAATGTACTTCTGTAGAGATATCGCCTCGGAAACCCAAGGAGGGGTTGCTATGAGGCAGGATTGACTGATAGCTGTCCTTAACAATTTGCTCCCGTAATTCCCAAAATAGTGTTCTAGTTACCGAGTGCTACTCTGACAAGAATATATGACAAATGGGATGGCCTTGACAAACAGGAGTTTATTCTTACAATTTGAAGGCTTTAAGTTTGAATTCAAAGTGCCAGGCTCTAGGGGCTGGGTGAAAGCCCCTCGACCTTGGGCTTCAGGTCTGCCTCCTACTCCCAGCCCACTGAAGCTAGAGGTATCTCTTCACTCAGACAGCTACTGGCTGCTGAGGTTAACAAGC